TAGGCCAGTCATGAGATTGGACACACACCGGAAAGCACACAGGAAGGATAAGGAATAGGACTTTACAACCAATAGAGGTGGGGGGAAAAGGAAGGTATTGATAAGCATGACTGAGCCTGCAATATTGAGTAATTGGTGCTATTAACAGAAGTAGTAAAAGTTAGGAGAAGGAGCCATTTTGGAGCTGCAGTAGTGGGACATTATGGGTTGGGTCTGGGATCTGTTGATTTTATAGTACCAATGGCCATATAGGTCAAGTTATCCAGCAGACAGTTGGATTAGGTTAGAGCTAGGGCTACCTTCCTAGGAATCATGCATAATGGTGAGAGTTAAACCCATAGGTAAGAGAAAGGGAGCAGGAACTCTGAAGGGAGCCCTTTGAGGGTGAAGCCTTGGGTGATGGCCATGTTTAAGAACAACCTGGAAAAGAAGAGACATGGACATGGATAAGTTGATTAGAGGGATAAAGAGAAGGAGATCCTATTATGCTTCGGAAATCCAAGGTGCCAGATAACTTATGTTGGCTCCTCCAGATTCCCTCTCCACCCTTCTCCGTTCTGCTCCCAGCCCCAGAGGCTGCCCTGTCTGGATCTATGCCTTTGGCTTAGGGATGGGTTTACTCAAAAGGGAGTCTGGCAGGAGACCCAAAGGAGGGAAGAGAGGGAGAGGTTGCCTTGGACTGGCTGTGACCCTTGTCCAAAGGTCATTCATTGCTCCTCTCTCAAGGCACCTGTTATGCATGATTCTCTCTCCTTACAAGCTCCATAATTTCCCCTCCTCTCTTCCCCTTGGGCCCAAGAGTGGTAACTGCTCAACTACTATCACATTGATTCTTTCTTTTCCTTATGGTTCCCTGCCCGGAAGTTTGTAATTAGCCTCTTATAAACCTTCCTAACTTATCCTAATTTGAGTGTTCCATTTGTTTTCTGTTGCAATTCTTATTGTTATACCTGTTAAACTCTAATTTGAATAGTAAGTGTTGACTAGGACTATGACTGAGAACACTGACATTGTCCTACCCCCAATCAATAGCTCCTTTTATTTGTTGGAATCAACAGGAAAATTTAATTTCAGCCATAATTCTACCTAGTCCTTGCACTCCTACCCAGATCCTGCTGTGCAATTGATTGAAAAGCACCTTTGGGGGCCAGACCCGTGGCCAAGTGGTTAAGTTCATGTGCTCTGCTTCAGCGGCCCAGGGTTTCACCGGTTCGGATCCAGGGCGCTGACGTGGTACAGCTCGTCAAGCCACACTGAGTCAGCGTCCTACATGCCACAACTAGAAGGACCCACAACTAAAAATATACAACTATGTACCAGGGGGCTTTGGGGAGAAAAAGGAAAAATCAAATCTTTAAAAAAACAACAAAAAAGCAGCTTTGGTAATCAAACTAAGCCACACCTAGGCCTAAAACCAATACCACACTTTCTGCTAAAGATGCTGATCTCTCATGAAGAAAGTGAGCACACCCAGAGATGAGAGGAAAGCATCCCTGATTCTCAATGCTCTCAAGATGGGCACTACTGGCAGTCTCAGGCAAATGCTCTAAGGTGCAAAAGGTTCCCTGCTCCTTGACCATGTGGAACAAACACAGCGCTACCCAGGAGGTCAGTAGCTATCTGTTGTTGGTAGCCCAGCTTCTCAGATGCTTCTTGACTTTCAGCTATATCTTATACTGATTTTCTCTAGCTTAAAGAAGACTTCCAGGACAGGAATATCCAGCTCCAGATATCTGGCTGAATCAATCATGGAAACAGACGAACTCAGGACTTGATGCTCTTTTTCAGTGAAAATATTTTAGTGATCAGAATTATTGAGGGAAACTCCTGTAATTCTAGGGTAAGGGGAGACTGGTTACCTTTCTGGAACTTGATCTGTCCTTGAATTGCTGAAGAATTTCTAAGCACAGGGTTTGTGGCCATGGCAGACCAAGATAAGCTTTAGGTCTCAGGAGAAAAAGAGGTAGTCTTTGATAGTTGAGGAAACGTGTCTAAGTGGTGAATAAGCACAGGCACTGAGGTTTCAAGACCACTGGGTTTTGGGAACATGGAGCTGTTCCTCATCTTCTTATCACACAAAGGCAGACTCCTGGGGCCTCTGAGTGTCTCTTTGGTCACTGGTCAGACTTGTAGTATAGCTTCCCTGGTCCTGAGAAAACATTGAGAATGAGCTGTCCCAGAGAAGCTTCCAAGCCCTTCAGTGTTAGAGGGCCAGGGGTGGTAGATCTCTGAGGGGTGACAGGTCCTGCTGTCAGGGTTCTGCAGCAGGAGTCATAAGGCTGGCAGATGCTGCTAAAAAAGCATTTTGCAGCTGCAGTAGGGATGTACTTTGGGTGGAGCCTAGGCTTAGTTGTGAAGGCCGGAGTGATTTGGTGGATAAAGCTTGATCCCTTGCCTAAAGAGGAAACTACCAGGAAGGGACTCTAAACCGTGAAATAGGTTGCCCAGATGGCTTTTACTACCCCCAGGCTCGTGCTTCCCATAATTATTGGTATTCCCAATCTCACCTCGAGGCTTTAGAAGTGAGCATGTTACCCTAGCCATTGGCAGTTTGATGCATATGTTGGAAGTTATTTCTCCTGTGCATTTAGTACCTTCAACAGAAATGCACACCAAGATTTGATATAAATAATCCTGTTCAGGATAACCAAAAGCTGTGGCCATGTGACTTCCTATTTTTCTTTCACTTTGATTTATATCTACTATGCTCTTTGACATACAACTACTCGTATTTATTACTGCTAATTCCTTGACACAGAATCCTCCTGAAGGGTATGTATCATTTTCCTTTTTTCCCGAATGTAAATGCATGTTAAAAATTTTTCCTGTAATTGGGGAAATTTATAGCAAACAAAAAATGCTGCATCAGTTCAAGTTCAAGAGAAATCCTGAAGGAACTGAAACAAGTACATTTAGCTAAGCTGAGCAACAACACCCTGATGATAATTCTGGGGAAGAAGAGAGGAAGGCATGACTAGGAAAGTGAAGACTGCAATAAACGGACGGTCTCCACATGATAGCTCTGTGACATGAATGTGATGTAAGAATCATTTTTAATAATCAGATGTTTCATTTGCATAAGCACTTACTAAGTATCAGACACTGTTCGGAGCACATTGCACCATCTGATTTAATCCTCACATCAACACTATGAGGTAGGTACTGTCATTATTCACATTTGCTAGATGGTGAAACTGTGCCCAAGCCACCCCATTTATAAGTAGTAGATCAAGCATTCAAACTTAGGTCTGTCTGACTCCAAAGTCATTTATTTCATTTCTTCAACAAGTATTAATTGGGCACCCACTCTGAGCCAGGCATTGGTAAACAAGGCAGAAAATGCTCTCTGTCTGCATGACATTTATGATCTAGCAATAGATAGATGTTAATAGTTTATTTGAATTAAGATTGTGATGCACACCATGAGCAAACAGAAGAAGATTTTCTTTGATATAGTCCAAACTTCTAGACAATGCCTGTGTTAGATACCCAATAAATATTAGTTGAATATTGAATACGGTTGCCATGAAGGTAGATAATGGTGGACTTACCCCAGTCTTGGTCGAGGACAAAGAAGGCTTTTCTGCAAAGGTGACATTGAAGCTGAGACTTAAAGGATGGTTTGAGCTGACTGGGAAGTAGGAGAAGCTCGCAGGAAAGGAGTGTTTTAAGCTGCCTGCCTGAAATGCTTGATTCAGGGAAGAACCTTGGTGAATAGAAGGGATAGAAAGTAGACCAATGAGGTTAAAACATGGAGGGCAGGAGAGGGTAGCCTAAGACAAAACGAGAAGGTAAGGAGGGTCAGGATCATGTGAACCATATAAAGATTTTTATCCTGATTCTAAGAACTATAGTTTGCCAGGAAAGGGCTTTCATAAGAAGAATGTCACCAACAAATTTCCATTGATTGCAGGTCAGTTAGGAGTCTATTGCAGTAGTCTACTTGGACTGGGAGGATGGCAGTAGAGAAAGGGCAAAATAAACAGATACTTAGGAGGTGATTGCCTAAATATGAAGGGTAAGAGAGAGGGAGTGCGTTAGTCAGTGTGCCTGATTAGTTACCTATTGCTGTGTAACAAATTACCTAAAACAGTAAATATTTATTATCTCACACAGAGTCTTTAAACGTCAAGAATCTGGGAGCAGCTTGCCTAGGTGGTTCTAGCGCAGTCTCTCATGAGGTTGCAATCAAGCTGTTGGCAGGTGTTCCAGTCCTCTAGGTTTTGACCTGGGCTGGAGGATCTGCTTTCAATCTCACTCACATGATTGTTTGCAGGCCTCGGTTCCTTACCACATGGGGGATGCTTGACACAGAGGTTGGCTTCCCCCAGAGTAAGTGATCAAACAGAGAGAGAGAGGGAGAGCAAGCGACCAAGAAGGAAGCTGTAGTGTTTTTTATGATCTAATCTCAGAAGTGACACACCATCACTTCTGCCATATGCTACTGCTCACACAGATCAAGTCAGATATGATATGGGAGGGGACTACGCAAGGACATGTATATCAGGAGGCAGAGCTCATTACGGGCCACATTGGAGGCTGGTTACTACCGTGCCCGTATGAAAAAGATGGCTTTCAAATTAGGATAATTTGAGAAATTGTGTGTTTGTGAATAGTTTGTTTTCTTACAAAGGGACAATTTACAAAGGTGTGTGCAAGGAGTAGGGAGACCACGAAGGAATCCTGCAAGTGCCCGGAGCTAGAAGCAGTAGAGCTGTTTTCACCCTACACCCAAAAGGACAAGAAGAGGAGGGAGAGGTTACTGGACCTCTGAAGAGAGAATCTTGGAGAGCAGGCCCACCTTGAGGGGAGCTGTGTTATTCTGATGAGAAACACTGCCTGCGATATGCTAGGACATGTGGGAGCTGATTGTTCATGTCTTTTCCCGACTCGGCCTTCAGTGATGTAACATTGGTAGCCACACAGGTTGTGGTGGTGATATTATACCGCAGAAATCAGTGAATACTACAAACCAGAACTTTTTCTTTTCTTCTTTTCAGAGAGCCAGTTGTTAAACATTTACAAGCACACTACTGGACACAGCCAGCCTGAGACAACCTCTTGATGTGGGAGCTAAGAAAAACTCACACACAGACCTCACTCTCAAGATAGAAGGAGGACCCGACTCCCCCAGGAGTCTCTTGGTGTGTGCTACTCGAACCATCAAGCATGTCTCCAGTTTCTTCGGTGAGCAACTGTGTGGACAGTGATTCAATTTACTGAAAGAAAAATAGACAAAGTATTATTTGTCACAATATCTCTTAATTATACTTTCCTACTCATCCTTATCACTCCTCATTTCCCACATCAGTGGAGGTAACTTTGGCAGACAATTGAAAACATTGGATTTTCTAGCAGGGTCGGCGAATGAGTTTATTTGTTTATTTTTTTTTTTTAAACAATAAAACTGACTCTAAGTTAAGGGAGAATTTATTAGAAAGATGTGAAAGAGCTCAGAGAATCAAAAAGGGACCTGAAGAATGAGGGTCACTGAGGGCAGGACCAGGGCAGCTCCAGATTATCCAAGTGGTAGGAAGTTATCAATGATCTCCTCAGAGAATCGCTGTTGAAATAAATCCTATTCCTTTTTTTTAACAGTCCTGGAGTTACTTTGCTCAAGATGCACTGTCATGGAATAAAATATGATTGGCCAACTTAGGTTAATGACTACTTTGGCAAGAAGAAGGCAGGGTTCCTCGACCGACAGTCCCACTGGGACTGTCACAATAAGGAGCCAGTAATTCCTAAGGAATTCAGAGTGCTCTTAAGAACAGGAGAGTGAATGGGTGCTGGGAAGCCAAGGAGAGGCGAATGTCCACTGCATTCTGGGACATGACCTTCCTCCAGTTGGGGGTCGGGTACCATTAATGTGGAAGTAATGGCAAATTAATTGTTATTTAAAGGTCTCTAGGTGTAATGTCAATAGTGCAGAATGTCACACTATTTAACATTGAGAGTTAACATTGAAAAAAATCACAGGTATGTAAATAAAGGTTGAACTAAAATAAACAAGAAACTGAAAGAAAAGCTAAAAGGTGCTGACGTTTAAAAGGAAGATCAAACGCTACTGTTTTATCAAACCTGATGAATAGATAAGTATGTTCCAGTAGCATTCGGAGTAGGTAGAAAATTTAGAGTTAAAATGGAGACAGGCTGTGAGTATTATGAGTTTGTAGACTTTCTGGTATACTTCAGTTGTAAACATGAGTTAAAAGAAAATGCTTGACCTTTAAAGCCATGGGCCCCGTGACCCTGCATTGTTCCCCTGCTCTCTCCTCCACTCCTCTGAGCTCTGCTGTCCTTCAAGACCCAGCACACATGTCTTCTCTCAGAGCCTTCCTGGACCAGCTCACTCCAGCCCAATCCACGGTTAAATAGCACCTGTTGTCCCATGCACTTGGCACTTCCCAAATGTCCTCCTAGGTTGTTCCACATCTTTTGATGTGTGCATCCTGATCCTCATCTAGGTTCCAGGAATACTGGAGGCAAGATCTCTGTCTGATGATGGTAAGTTGGCTGTTGGAGGTTTAATATAACTTTTTAAAACTTTGGTCTTTCTTCCCTTTTCTAGTTCCTCTTCTGCATAAACCTTGAAAATAGGGACCTTAACAAGGATTTCCCTCTCCTTCCTCTTTTTTTCTACCCCACAATGTTCTTGAAAGAATTAACAAGAGAATATGTGTAAGAGCCCAGGCAGGAGTTACACGCAGATGTTTTAATTTTGTTTGATGCTCTTTCCCCTATCAGCCAAGATCACCCAAGCACAAAGAAAGATTCTTGTTATGGTTACTAATATTGATAGTATTCGTCTCATGCTACACGTTCTTCCTCAATGATCTCATCCACTTGGGCAATTTCGGCTGTGATCTTTTAAGGGGGTGATGTTCCATCTGCCTCCAGCTGACTCATTTCCTAAGCCCCAGGCCCATATTTCCAACTGGATGTTCTGTAAACATCTCACACTCAACACGTCCTGAATTGAACTCATCCTGCCATACAAACCTAGTCCTTTTTATTGAAGCGCTTGATCACAAGTCACAACTGAGCTAGGTGTGACTTAGACTTGACATCTCAGGAACGTTTCAGCTCCAGCATCTCCCTCTCACTCCCTCCCACTTAATATCCTGCTTGAGTCTATCACTGTGTCCTGACATTTGATTTTCTCTGCAGTCACATGTCTGCCCCCCACCTCAGCCCGTGCTCCACGCTGTCACTAGAGTTCTTTTCCTCAACCCTCACAGGGTCTCATCAAACCCCAGCACTCTCCCCACACACCAAAGCTTAAGTCTCCCTGCTGTTGCATGTGCACAGATTGTAGCCCCAACCAAACCTTCTGGCCTCATCTCTACAATCCCCAAACCTAATGCCACCTCCTTGTTTCACATTCTCAGAATATGCCCTCCACTATACACAATTAACTTGGTTGAAGTTTTTTCCTTTGTCTTCAATAGCCTTGCCACCGGGTTCTTCCTAAGCTTGCATCTTCCAAGACACTTTACTAATTTTTTTTTCTTTTTTCTTTTTTTTTGAGGAAGATTAGCCCTGAACTAACGTCTACTGCCAATCCTGTTTTTGCTGAGGAAGATTGGCCCTGAGCTACCATCTGTGCCCATCGTGTTTTTTATGTGTAGGATGTCTGCTACAGCATGGCTTGATAAGTGGTGCGTATGTCCACGCCCGGGATCCAAACTGGTGAACCCTGGGCTGCCGAAGCAGAGCACATGAACTTGACTGCTATGCCATTGGGGTGGCCCCTGACACTTTACTAATTTTAACAGTTAAAATTAATTGTTCCTTCAAGTAATAACTATCCATTATAGAGAACTGAATATGTGCTGGGGATTTACAAACATTGGTACATTAAATCCTCACCACAATTGAGCAAGTTAGGTATTACCGACCCATGATCCCTTATCCAGTCATGAGGCCAGCTGTGCTTCCAAATTCAGAATGTCTTGTTTTTTAGAAAGGCAATATAATGAAATGCCTCTCAGTTTCCCCATCTGTAAGTGGGGAGGATAAGTGCTAGGAGAGTACCTTCCTCAGGAGGTTGTTGCGGAACAGGCAATGTGTTCATTTAGAGAAGAGACTAGTGAGATCCCTTATTAACTGCATTTTAGGGGTCTATTTGATGGTTATAAATAGTGCATAATAGCTTATGAACTATGCCTTACTAAGAAAATAAGTGGATATAACTTTTACAGTTGCCTGATTTGTATCAGGAAAGTAATTTGGTTGGTGAGAACTTTGTCGGATGTTGTGCTGCTTATTCTTTTTTTCTTTTCTCTACTTTCTTTACTTTCACTTCCTTCTGCTACTTACCACACCCTTTACTCAGCACTTCCTATCAAAATCACAGGCCTCTTGCTCCTGCAGTAAAATCTCTTTCTTCGATTTTCTGGCCCATTTTGCTATTAATTCATAATTCTCTCTGACATTGCCAGAGAAAATTTATGGGAGGTGGGGGAATGGATGAAATAGGTGAAGGGGATTGAGTACAAACCTCCAGTTGTAAAATAAGTCACAAGACTGTGACATACAGCATAGGGAATGTTGTGAATGATATTATAATAACTTTCTATAGTGACAGGTGGTCACTAGACTTGTCATGGTGATCATTTTGTAATGTATATAAATGTTGAATCACTATGCTATACACCTGAAACTAATATAATATTGTATGTCAACTATACTTCAATAAAAAAATTATGCTAAATTATTCCCTTCTCTGACAAAAATACTTCATGACAATTATGCTAATTTTTAGGAATTCAATGAAAATACCACTAACAAACTCATTTCCTTTACTCTTCCATGGGTCTGGATGCACAAGAGACCAAGAATATAGTGCTGGCAGGGACTGTGAAGATCAACCAGCACAAATGACCTGGGTTTCTTTGGTTATCTACTACCTTTGAAGAAACTAAAGAGCAGGGAGGGGGACCAGCTCAAACTCACACAGCTAATTAGTGACACAACACTAGCTGGATCCCAGCTGCCAACCCCCCCCACCCCCCACCACCTCTATCCCCAGGCAACCACTAATCTGCTTTCTGTCACTATAGATTGTTTTCCTAGAATTTCATAAAAATGGATTCATACAGTTTGTACTTTTTGTATCTGGCTTCTTTCGCTCAACATGTCTTTGAGATTCATCCACATTGTTGCATATATTGGAAGAGTGTTCTTTTTTATTATTGAGTAGTATTTCATTATAAAGACATATCACAATTTATTTATCCATTCTTCTGCTGATAGACATTTGAGCTATTTCCACGTTTTGACCATTATGAATAAAACTGCTATGAACATCCTCGTATATGGTTTTTTGTGAATATATATTTTCATTCTTCTTGGGTAAATACTTATGAGTAGAACTGATGGATCATAGGATAGGTACATATTTCATTGTATAAAAAATTACCAGTCACTGGGGCTGGCCTGGTGGCACAGTGGTTAAGTTTGTGTGCTCTGCTTCAGCAGCCTAGGATTCACAGGTTCGGATCCCAGGCACAGACCTACACCCTACTTATCAAGCCATGCTGTGGCGGCATCCCATATACAAAATAGAGGAAGATTGGCACAGATGTTAGCTCAGGGCCAATCTTTGTCACACACACGCAAAAATTTACCAGTCACTTCATATCTTCACTCAATATTGGGCTTGGCAGTCGTATTAGTCAGGGTTCTTCAGAGAAACAGAACAAATAAAATATAAAAGGAGATTTAATATAAGGAATTGGCTCATATGATTATGGAGACTAAGTCCATGACCTGCCATCTGCAAGTGGGAGAGCAAGTCCTAAGGCCTGAGAACCAAGGGAGCTTATGATGTAATTCCCACTCCAAGGGTCAGAGATGATGAGATCCTGAAGCAATGAGGCAGAGAAAAGGGGGAAATTCCTCCGTCTTCCACTTTTGTTCTTTTCAGACCTTCAATGGATTAGATGATGCCCACCCACATTGAGGAGAGCAATTTACAGAGTCCATCAATTCAAATACTAATCTCATCTGGAAATATCCTTACAGACACACTCAGAAATAATGTGTAACCAAATACCTGGGCATCCCCTGATCTAGTCAAATTGACACATAAAATTAACTATCATACTAGTCTTTTAAATTTTAGTCTTTCTAGTCGGTGTGAAACTATTTATTGTGATTTGAATTTGCATTTCCCTGATGAC